GCAGGGACGGCGCGGGTGCCCGGGACCGCGGACCCCCCCGCCGCCCCCGCTCCCGGGACTTGCCTCCTCCTGGCCACTGAGGATCCTCCGAGGCGAAGACGGCCACGCGTGGGATCTAATTTTTTTTTTCTTCCTTCCTCCCCTCTCTTGTATTTTCTGCCTTTTTTTTTTCCCCGTCCCTAGAAGAGGACAAAGGAAAAGAAGAGACCTGGTGAGAGGCTCGAGTGATTGCATTTTATGTTGTTTTATTCCTTTCCCCTTGTATCCTTGTGTCCCTTCCCCCCCACTACCGCTTTGGCCAATCGTGAGGAGCCTGGTGACCTGCCCTCACCAGTGCTTGGGGTCTCCCTCCTCCTCAGCCCCTCTCAAGTTTATGTAACTCTGTAAACCAGGCATTTGGTTCTGGCTTCCGACCAGGCGCCCGCGGCTCGCCTTCGCTCCTGTTTGCCTTTCTCCAAAGGGATGAGCTGGGATTTGTACATGGGGGGTTGTTTAATATCCCTGGGTTGCATAGCTTTCATTCATTATGGGGGGTTTCAAAACAGTCTTTTTAGGAAGGCGGAACGGGGCACCCAGTGGGTCGCGAAGAGCTGGCTCAGTGTTTTGAGTTGGGAGCACAAGCCCATGGGATTTCTTTCCCACCCCCTTATTGCTTGTAGAGATCAAGTATAAGATGGGGGGGGAGAGAGGGGGTTCTCCTGGGCTCTGCAGAGATGTGGTTAAAATTCTTTCATCAGCTTTCTCTCACCCTTCTGATTTAGTAATTGATGCAATTTAAAGTGAGGTCCTTGTTGCTGGAGGGTGCCGGTTGACAGGTCCCTAGAGACTGAGGTCCTGAATGCGGTCCCAGATCAACAGGGCTGCTGCCACTTGTCTGTCTCTCTCGTGCAAACCAGGCCAGCTTCCTCTCTGCCCTTGCCTAAGATTTCCTCTGGGGAGGAGGGGTGGGGTGTGAAGTCTCTGTGGCTAGTTGGGATCTTGGCTTCTCTGATGAGGAGCCTGCTGGGGTATGGGCTTGTGAGGCAACAGCTGCACAATGAAGCTTACCAAGCATTGTGGCATTGTGTTGCAAGTTACTAGTGTCCTGATAGTTTGATTGTACACGTGCTAAACTTTGTTGGAGGACCATGTTTAAGCTGCTTACAATGACGCTAGCCATAGCAGTGGTGGAAGTCTTGGAGTCGACAAGCAGTAGTGCTTTAGACACTTTGTGATATAACCTCGCACATGATGGGTAGAGAAGAGTTAGTAATAACAGACATCAGTCGTGGCTTGACCTCTATATGTGGTGGAACTACTTTCTTTTGCTGAGTAGTGGGAGGTTTCCCAGAAAGCATGTAGGATAGCAGAAACCATACAACTTTGTTGCAGACCTTAATTTCTATAAGGGTTCATCCTGTCCAGTATAGAACAAAAATCATGCCGGGCTGTTGCATGTTCTTGGCACTTTGTGTTATAATATTTTGCCACAGCATGGCAAGTGTCAAGATCTTGAGTGTTTGGGTGTACCCACATCGGATCAGTCATGCCAAACATAGTGATGTTGAAACACTTGTAGGAGAGCTCCTGCTGATGAGAGTGGCAACTGTGTGTTTGTTGGGGGGAGGTGTTGCAGGAATAGAGACTTTGAATTGGGGTAGCTGGAAGGAGCCACAGTTCTAGCTGCCTGGAGGCATAGCCTGTTCCATGATTTTGCTGGCTTGGGTTTTCAGAATGGAGCCTTAGATCACCTAGGGAAAGCAGGCTGCAACCCTGCTGCCACCAAATAGGTTTAAATATAGATGTGTAACTAGCATGGTTTGAGACCTGACTTAACTGCCAGTGATGCTGGTGAATGTGAAGTGCGAAGGCCTTTCTCTGAACTTAAATCACTTCATGCAGACTGTCAAACAGTCAGATCAAAGTTAGAACTCTAGGTTCATTGCTAGGCACCTGAGGCTGAGTTGGTAACAGAGTTAAGGTGAAAGGATTAGTCCATTGTATTCCCTCACCCATTGCACATGGCATTGCATAGTGTTACAGAATCATTCCTAAGTGAAGGAGAGTTTATCATGTGTGCCATTATTATTCCTTATGTTTTTTAAAGGAGGAAGAGGAAGAAGACAGCAGCCCTGGAGTATCTTTCTCGCTCTCTTCGGAAGAGTCGGAGATGGAGCCTGAGGAAGAGAGAATTCGTTACAGCCAAAGACTGGTCAGTACATTTTTCCTTGCCTGTCACATATTTGGTGTTGGTCTTCAGGTAATTAAGGCTTTATGTTAGGAGCAGACTGTTAGTGCCCTATGGAGTGATGAGGCTTAGTGGCTTCAAGCGTCCTCGCTGTGATGTTATGTCATTAAGGGCTGTAGAGAGAAGTTAGAAACAAAGTTATTATTACCCTTCCTGGATTTAGTTATCTGAGTTTCAAAAAAAGAAAAAAGAAGCTGCTTTGAGATGCTTGTGGACAGAAATAGGCTGGTTTAGATGTCAGTTGTGATGCAGCTGCCTCTCTGGGTGGTATTTAGGGCAAACAGGAAAATGTATTGAAAAGCTGTGTATGGTACTCTGGGATAGCTTTGTGTTGGTCTTACATTGGCGTAGTACTGACTTGAATATACTTCTGAATCTAAGGAAAAACTGGCTTCGCTCTTTCAGTTTGAAGTTGTGTGTTTGTATGCATCTTCCTTTTTTTTTTCTTCTTTTAAATAAGTGCTGCTACTCTCTTAAGGAGAGTCTGAGATTATATTAATGGTGTCTCTGAGTGGGATAGAGTTGCTGTAATGGGAAGAAGGATAGAAGACTTGTCTTAAAATTAATTTCACTACTTGGGAAAAGTATTGTTAGCTAGTGGAGGGAAGCGAGTTCAGGCTGCTCTGGATAGTATGATACTTCAAGTTGTGATGGAGTTTCCCTGAGTCGTACTTGATCTTTCTCTCTCCCCTAAGCCTCAATGTTTTTGGCTGTTATTGTTAACTCATCCTTTAATGCTATGAAACAAAATCATCTAGGGTGGAGTGGTTTGTTTATATCTGAGTTTAAGTTTCCTAGAGATAGAAAACGTGTGTGTGTGTGGTCAATTTTCTTGCTGTCTCAGTTGCTGCTCTATTCCTTATCTGCCTATAGAGAAGTCATGGGGGAACTGTAAATAGTGCTCATCTTTATAAAGGTGGGCTAGAAATGGAAGTCTTCTGAGTAATCAGTTTTACTTCTTCAAAAAGAAGAAAACCCGTATGTACCCTACTTCAGTGATGAAGTTTGAAGACAATTTATGACAACAAAGTGATATGAACTGACTGAACAGCGGCATTGAATTAGAAGCTTGAAACACTGGGATGGGCATGATGAAGTAGGGTTGAATCTGGTCTAGGTTCTATATCCCACATTGTCCACTGTCTTCCTGTGACTTCTGGTAAATCATGTAGGACTTGTCTGTACTTTAGAGCTTTTGCTGGCGTAGCAGAGCCCATAACTGAAGATATAGCATTTGCTGTCAGAACAGGTTTTTCTGACAACATCGTTACAGCGTCTCCCTAGACAACACATTCAAAGCAAAGAAAAGTTGTCTTTTGTCTGTGTAGTTGTGCCCACACCATGGGACCTACTGCCGTAGCTGGGATCTACTGTTTGCTGGGTGTTAAAAAATTTAGGCCCCTGAAGCTGGTATATGCTGACAACTTCATAGTGTAGAGCAAGTCTGTGTATTCTTTTTACTGCAACAACTTCCAATTTACCATGGTACCATGGCCCTGTTAGTCTTCTCTTCCACATCTTCTCTATCCAGGTTGCGTATAAACCTAAATATTACCAACAATTAAAGATAGTAAAACAATGTGAGCACTAGAGTCAATGCCTCATTGAAATGAATGGTCTGGATGATTCATTCTCCATGTTATTCATCAGGCCATGGCAGACTCAAAAAGACAGTACTTCATCAGTTAACTCTCCACACATCTCACCAGTGTAGTCTCAGTAAATCTGATGGTAAAAAGCTTTCCCAGATGCATGCTCTGATTCTGAGGTATTTGAATGTCATGTTCTTCATGGTAGTCTAAGAGTAATGTTGTAGATGTGATGGTTCAGTAATTATATGAGAAGCCAGGATTTTTTATGTTGGTATCTTTTATTGAACTATGTAGCTGGTAAAGCTTTTGCATGAAGAGCATTTTGTCTTACATTCAAACTCATCAACCCTGTGAGCCAGGCACTTTATTATGTCTGCCTTAAAATTCCAATGGAAGAAAGCAGGTAGTCCTTCTTAGCACACGTGGCACAGGTGCGCACAACAGGCTTTTTGGCATGGCTTTGGTTAGATATGTAGCAATGTGTGATTTTTTTTTTTTTTTTTTTTTTTTCTCCTTTGTAATCAGTATAGTGGTGCTGGCAAAAACCACTAGAGTGAACTCAACCTGTATCAGCTAAGCCATGCTTTTGTTGGTATATGCTGTTTGCAGTGGTGAGACTGAATTTACTGTCCAAAGCAGTGTTTTGTTGATACAGGCTGCATGCACATCCATTAGCACTTTGCAAGTGCGGTATACTAGCACAGAGATATCCTTAAAGCCTTTTCATTGATGTCCTGGACTTAACACCCCAGGCATGTCTTGAATGAGGGTGTCTTGAGCACTTCCTTTCTTGGTGTTCAGGGCCTTAGAGCTTGTCTAAACACTACTTTGGCTTTCATTTAACTAAGAAGGCCCTTTTCACTGGTTTTATATTGGTGCAACTGTTTCAGTTAGAGGCTTTTTTTTAAATTAAAATGATGCGCTGGTACAGCTGGTGTGGATGTAGTTTTATTGCTACAAAGTTTGTTTTATGCCAGTATAAGTGCCTCCCTAACAGAGTAACTGCATTCACACTAATCGGGTTGCACTCCTTAACTAAACTGTTAGAATATAAACAGCAAAGCTCACATGTAGTCAGATATGCAATAAAAAAAGGATATTGTAGTAAGGAAATTAGTACAAACTCCCGGTATAAATGCAGTTACATGGATATAATGGTCTTCATACTGGTCTGGTTTGTTTCCACCTGAAACACTCAAATGCGTGTAGAAGTTGTGTGTGCAGGCAAACACTTAAAGACAGAAAGAAGTAGGGAAACCAGCCTACTGGCTGTATACAAGAGGAAACTAACTCGTACCATTTATGAAATGAGAACTTGGCTAACAACTTAAATGGCAAGGATACTGGGAGCCACCCCCTCTATAAGTAACTAAGGACAGTGTTGTCCTAGTCGGCTGCTGTTGGTGGCTTTCTACTAAGTTTGTTCATTACTGTTCCTCAGTAGTATAATGGAACGTTTCAGAGTTTGAAAAGTTTTAGGTGTTGACTTTTACCTATGGGGGGCCAAATCTATAGGCCATACTATTGAGAAGTGAAATGGAGTATAGTGTCTCATGTCCTGGACCCTGATTTCAGTCCAGCCCCACATCAATAACGATTTAATCATGCTCATGTGAGGCTGTTCAGTATTTAGTGGGAACTAGGTTGATGGTCTCAATTAGTTCACGCCACAGCTAGCACTGCTCAGTATTTCCAGCAAAGGTCAAGGACTGAAGGGTTCTTGGAGATTCAGTTCCCAGTTTGCCACTCCTGCCAGCATAGCCCTGCAATCCACTGTTTTTGCTGTCAAAGGCCCCACTTAATTTGTTCTATTTGGACTCCATTTTCAAGAAGATTACATGACAAAATGTTTGACTGAACATGTGTCTAGGATATATGAATTAAAACCTTTCAGGAAGCCATCTGGCAAGACACTGTGCTTTGTCATTGCATCAGAACAGTGATCCAACTAGTTGAGGACCATGTCTTAGTGAGTGGCTGATACATGGTGCTGTAGTGGAAAATAATATCTTAACTCATCATGCACTCAGCTGCTTGTACAGTGCCATGCAAGGGGAGGAAGAGTTCAGGACCCTTCTGATCATCTCGCCCTTGAGGCACTAGACTTCGTTATCCCCACAGAGCTGGAAATCAATTTATCAAAACGTCTTGCACTTGCACGGTTGCACTGGTCTCCTCCCTATCTTCCTTCTGATTGATAAGTTCTAGAGCGTGCCTGACTTGCCACCCTGGAGTGATTTTTTTTATTTTTTTTTTTTTTTTTTGCAATCTGCTGCCCATATTCTTAAAGTTTAGAATTGTCAGTCTTAATTTTTTCTTTTTGGAGCCTTGTCATTCCTGTCCAGTCAAACCAAGAATCTCACCTTCCCAGATAGAAGCATGATTAGATTGAGTCATAAAGACTCTCCTAAAGAAAGTTGGTACAGAAGCAATTTTGTGCTAGTGAATGACTGACAGCAGTAAGAAGGGAACAAGGCCAGTCAGTTCTCAGCAACTTTAACATCAGAAAGATTATCTAATGCTAATTGTGGGTGAATATAATGGTATGGACAGATTCCACTAGAAACATAAGAATTGTCCTGCATATATGCTGTAGATTGCCAGACAACTGTTGATTGGATGCATGTGCATTTAGTAATGGTACAGGTTGGAATTAGAACCAAAATGTATGGGTCTCTTTCTGTTTGCCTTCCTTGAGCAATTTAAGGACATCATAGATATGTGTGAGTTTTGTTTGTTTGTTTGTTTTTAAATATATCCTACCCTCCATTTCCTGAGAGGACTTTAAAAGTACTTGCCATTTACTTATTATTTGAGATTTGGAGGAAGACTAGGGATTCACTAACTAAAATGGTGCCACAAACATTCAGTAGCAAAGTTAAGGGCTGGAAATGAAAAGTAGCAACTTTGTATCTAGCTAAAATAGCTTGGAAAATGAAGGAGGAGAGTGTAATCACTTAAAGTGCAGGGGTTTAGGTTGTAGCCGTGTTGGTCTAAGGACATCACTTAAAGTGGAAATTCTTCAGGTCCTGGGCTCTTTAAAGTCCATTGGCTATGGTGGTAACATTATCTAAGTTGGTCTCTGAGTGTGTTCCCTCATCAGGGCTTCTGAGCGCTATGTGAAAAAGTACAGCCATTCAGATTATTATACCCTGCTCATTGAGGGCCACTAGCTGGTCCATTCAGCTAAAAAGAGTACTTTTTACTGAACTGCTTCCTCAGACTCTTGGCAGTATCCCATGGAAGCACTGGCTTGGCCTAGCTTCCAGTTACATCCCTGTGTTGTGCCTCCTTTCCCCCCACCTCCCCAAGCAAAGATGAAACCTTCTGTAAACAGTGATAAACAGACATATTTTTACAAGCTTAGTGTCC